GGGAGGGAGGGGAGTGTGATGATAAATCTTTTGAAGACATCAGCTCACTGTGCTGAGAGAGGGACCAAACTCAAGGAAACCTCTGATCTATAAATTCAACTGCTGCATTTTTTTATAAATACATGTAAATGTCCTGTTGTAATATTTGATCTTGGAAATAAAATAAAAACTTTTCAGTATTAGTTTTTTTGTATTACTCATTTGTGAGATAAGACTGTGGATATTACTTTTATTAATACAATTCAGGTTTCAAAATCTTGCCCTCATATTCTCATTTGTAGGACAGTAGTATTTATTGACAGAAGTTCATAGTTCATTGTCAAGGGTAATGTTTGCTAGCTTCTTTTCTGCTCTTAGTAGTATGTTGGACGTTTATGATAAATGCTCTATAAATGTTGGTTGTATTGTGATCAAGTCATTGGGTTTTCTAGCCTCGTTAGGAAAGTAAGGTCCTGTATTTGACATATTTGGGCAATTCAAGTGTCTAGTTTTTCAAACCAACAATAATGACTAATTAAGGACTTGGCTTAAGCAAGTGATGGAAAAACGCAATTGCTAAATTAATGAGGGGAAAGCCATTAACTATTTGTGTAATAGAAATTGGGATTAGTGTTTAGCTCGCAGTAACCCTCATGCGCTGTTTGTGCTGCTAGTCTTCCTCGTGTGGAACTATTCCTCATCCCCATGCTACAGCAACATACTCTCATAGCACTTGCTATCTTCTTTCAAGACCTTGTCTCCCTGGCCACATTGACTGGTTAAGGGGTGGGCAGCCTACCTAGATTGGGCCAATAGGACACCGTTTCCATTCCTCCAGTGACAGACAACCTATTCTTAGCCTTAACTACCCTCACTATGTGCCAAATGACAGGGATGTGATGAGCAAAAAGACAGAGCCCCTGTCCTCCGGGAACTTTCTTTTTAGTTAGGAATATAGACAATAAGCAAATAATAAAAATACAGATTTGATTCAAATACTATGAAAAAAAACTAGAAAAGGAGCCAGTAGAGATTTCTGCTTTAAATAAGATGTTGAGGAATAATATTTAGGTTGAGACCTTGAAGGATGAGAAGGCCACGGTAAGAGGAGGAGGAAAATTTCCAAATGGAACGACAAATGCGAAGACCCTGATATATTTGAGGTATTTAGAGAAGGTGAATGTGTCTGGCATGTGAGGTGAGCAAAGGGAATGGCATAAAATGAGTAAAAGCCATATCATATAAGGCCACCTTAGGCCCTGGTAAAGGGCTCAGATAGTGTCGCAAGTGCAATGAGAAGCCATTTATTATATGGAGAGTGGATTGGAAGAGAGCAAGAGTAGAGACTATTGCAATGATCAAGGTACAAAACGAAGATTGCCTGCACTAGAATAATGGCAATGGAACTGGGAAATAGCATATAAATCAGAGATGCATTTTGAAGTTAGAATTAAAAGACTGTTGAGTTAAATGTGAGGGAAGGAAGGAAAGAGAAACCAAGGGTGACAAACTTTGCGGCAGGTGGGTAGGTAGTGGCATCATTACTAAGGCAGGAAGACTGGTGGATCAAGCAGGCTTGGTGGGCAGAAAGCATTTTGGCTGTGTTAATTATGGTACTTCCAAGGTCAGGTATAGTGTAGGAAGTTGCATATGTGAATCTGAAGCTTGAAGGAGAGGTGGACTGGAGTTAAGATTTGAGAACTCATCCATGTTATAGATGGAGCATAGTACCATGGGAAGGAATAAGGTCACCTAGGAAGAAAATTAAAGAAAAGAGGGCCCAGAACCTAGGCCTGGAGATCACCATAAAGAGGCTGAGTCAAGGAGATACAACCAGTGAGGAAGGAGAAGCACCAGATTCTGGTGTCAGGAGAGCCAAGAGTGAAAATGTTTGAGAAGGATCTAGCAGCCAACTATGTCTAATTCTGCCTAGGAGTCAAGTGAAAAGGACAGTGAAGTCTTCATGGGATAACAAGAAGTCATTAGACAACAAGAACATTTGCAGTGTGATGGGAGACCAATGCCTAATTTGGGTTGAAGCATGTAATATTTTTATGCTAATAAAGAAGAAAAAAGAACTTCCTCTTTCGTGAACTGGTATAAGTGGTAGATATTTCAACATCTCCTATCTTCCTTTTTCTCTCCCTCCAATTAAGGGAATGTGCTCTCTTGTTTAGTCAGCTGTCAGTTGAGGTTGGATCCCACCCACAAGGAAGCTGATTACTCTGTCACTCTTATTTGGGGAATATTGGCCTGATTGTCATCATCTTTTCCCTTTTCCTTCTGCCAGTAAATTCCATTTTCTCAACTTCCTCTATTCCTTGCTTAAATCCCACCTCCAGACCCCACAATATCCCCCAGAATGGAACATCTGTCTATCCTGTTCTCCCAAG